GAAACTAAATCTGTAAACGGTTTGAAAGCTAAATTAAAAATACACCTTTTAGCATCTCAAAAGTCATTATTTCACGTGTAGTGGCAAGTTATTTCATAGATACGATTTAGCAAACATATTATAGGGATAGTTAATGTGTATATAATATATAATAAAATATAATACACATATGTTTTGTGTGGAGTGTGTATAGGTACATTTACGTAGGTATGTGTATTTTTTAAGTTATATTTAATATATACACATACACACAAACATGATGTGTGTATGCGTGTGTGTGTGTGTGTGTGTGTATATGTATAGGTATGTATATGTATATGTATATATATATATATATATATATATATATATGTATGTATGTTGTATGTATATATAGATATATGTGTATGTTTAATTTTAATATAATATACAATACTTTTATGTATATACTTGGAAATATTTACTTTGAGTGAATGGTAGATTCATTATTTTTCGTTTATGTTGTTGCCGATATAGTCGCGGGCGCAATACGGTATCAATATTTATCAGGGTTCCGCTGAAAATCAGCGCTGCTGCAGTATCTGTGGTAGCATATGCTGAGACGGAATACTTTTGGCATCACATCACTCACTCTTGCCGAGATTTATTTTATTTTTATTTATATTTTTCAACTACTTTGTATGTTTTTATGTCTGATTATTTCTAAATGTATATTTTGTGTGTGTATTGATGCTAATAAAACATATGTCTATGTCTATGTCTCTATATATATACATAGATATATATATATATATATATATATATATATATATATATATATATATCTATGTATATAGACATATATACAGGGTTATTTTGCAACAACCAGTCAAATTTGCAGAAAAGATTCAGAATAAGTAATATGGGCAAATAGTGAAAAAAAGTTATTTAAAAAAAAACTCAAACATTCTGTCATTTTAGGTATCTTTTAAATTCATAATTTCAAATTTTGTACAGCCGACTTCAATATAACTTATTAAGAATAACTCAAAAATTATTAGTCTGACCTTGATCAAATTCATATGGGACCACACGAGAAGTACCAGCTTTCAATTAAAAAAAAGAATCATCGAAATCGGTTCACCCAGTAAAAAGTTATGAGGTAACACACATAAAAAAGCGTACAGTCGAATTGAGTACCGTCTCCTTTTTGGAAGTCGGCAGAAAATGCGTGATAATGCAGTATTTTAACTGATTGTCATTCATAAATAGCAAACGCTTACTATTTTACTACGCACGCACACGTAACGAATTGAATCGCACACAGAGAAGCGCGCGTACGTGTAGTTGTTGCCCATAAATCATATTCAATTTGGAAATGCGCAGGGATTACACGCTTCAATTCCTCCCTCTCCTTTCCACCATCAGACAACCAGGCGGTCGCCGGGTCTTCATCTCTTTGTTGTCGATATTCCACGCATTAGAACCAAACAGTTTGCTTCGTCTTTTGTAATACGTACAGCAAAGGAGTGGTCTATCTTCCGTCCGAATACAATTTGAGCGTTTTCAAGGCAAAAGTGAATAGGCTTTTGTTACGCTAAGACAGTGCGATTTACCATCTAAGGCTGCATCACCACTTACCACCAGGTGGGATTGTGGCTTATAATAAATATAAAAAAAGACAATTTAAAATAAAAGTAGAACCCTTATTTACTCGCAATTCCAAAAACGGCGAAAACATTATTTTATTATTTATATATTTGAACTTAAATTTAAAATTTAGCTACTTTTTAAAAAATAAACCTATATATGCCAAAAATTTAAATAATATTTGATTTAGTTGCCACTTTATTGAATCAGTAAAGGTCATAATATATTGCATGTTACTGTTAGGCTTGTTGTTGTTTTAAGACTGTAAAGAGTTTTTAAACGAAGTTGGTTTTTTTAAACTGAGTTTATGCTTTTGTTAGTTTTTTAGTCACGTATGTGTAAATATTAGCTGACACCGGGGAACAAAATTTTCGTATGTGCGAAGGAAAAAACAAAAAGATCGCAAGCAAAAATATAAACACTTTGTATACAGTGTTTTAGCCACAAACGGAGCAACACATTACATTAATAAGCCGAGAACACTACGGATGTAAGTAGTAGATACTCTAAAAATAGTTAGCAAAAACTGATTAAATAAGTAAACGGTTTTTATATGTTACTTTCATCGCTTTTCATATAATATTTTATAATGACATGCGAATTACGGAACCATAATTATCTTTGATAATAAATAACCGAATCATAGAAATTTTGTTTTCTCGCTCAAAGACTAAGTAGGTACAGCCCATTCACCGAGGTAACCCATATTTATTAATCTGTGTAGGAAACACAGCTAGCGTTCTTGGCACGGGAAGTAGGACTATGGGACAATTTAAGTTTGTAGTTTTAGTTTTTTTTTATTAGGAATTTTTAATATTGTATATTATACTTTTTTTATAGGATAGGGTGACAAGCGAGCACACAGTCCACCTGATGGTAAGTGGTTGCTGTGGCCCATAGACGTCTACACTACATCTATCCTCGTATGCGAATCAAAATGCAGATGCGTTGTCAACCGTGAGTACTAAGATAGAATGCCTCTTCCAGTAAAAAGGGTCTCCGGTTCTCTACACTCACCATACGAAACACAGCAGCATTAAGCCGCTATTTTACGCTGGTATTCTGTGAGAGCGTGGTTCTTCCCCGGACGAGCCGACCCATTTGTGCTACAACTATACCAGTAATATAGCTGCAGCATAGCTAGTAGTTTTTACGTAGTAGAGCCACGTACACGTCGTTTAATTGACGAGATTGAGAGGTTCTATGGGCAGCTGTACACATCATCGTTGGAGCCTCACGCAAGTTTGAGTAAGAAGTCTTATACGACACTATTCCGATGATATTCCGGAAGTCAAGCTGATCGAGATTACCTTACCTTAAAGACGGCAAAGCCGCAGGCGAGGATGGAATTACAGCGGAGCTTATGAAAGCGGGTGGAAAACCGATACTTAAAGTCCATCAGAAGCTCTTTAATTCCGTCATCTATGGTGACACTACAGTTGCACGTAGAAGTGCGTCTCGTAGTATTGTTCTTCAAGAAAGGAGACAACGCTCTCTTGAAAAACTACAGACCGATTTCCCTTCTGAGCCGCGTCTACGTGCTGTTTTCGAAAGTCATTATGATGATTTCTTATATTTACGCGAACACTACACATTTTTAAATAAAACTAATTTTACGGATTTTATCGCGTATATTAACTTATTTTTAACTTATTTTTATATTCCCGACGTTTCGGGTGCTTTCCAGCACCCGTGGTCACGGGGGACTGAGTTGTTTGACGTCCTGCTGTCATAGTTAGCCCGGCTACCTTCAGTTTTTTAATATTAATTTTTTTTTTATTAATTTTTTTTTTTTAATTTTTTTTTTGATTTTTTTTTTTTTAATTTTTGGTTCGATTTGCGTAAATCGAACCAAAAATTAATATTAAAAAACTGAAGGTAGCCGGGCTAACTATGACAGCAGGACGTCAAACAACTCAGTCCCCCGTGACCACGGGTGCTGGAAAGCACCCGAAACGTCGGGAATATAAAAATAAGTTAAAAATAAGTTAATATACGCGATAAAATCCGTAAAATTAGTTTTATTTAAAAAGTCATTATGAATCGTCTCGCACGCAGACACGACGACATCCAGCCTCCCGAACAAGCCGGTTTCTGAAAAGGCTTTAGAACCATAGACATACCCTTCGGTAAATTGTACAGAAGACCGAGGAGTACAATTTGCCACTATATCTTGCGTATGTGGACTATGATTTGCCTTTTGAATGTTTTTGATTTTGCGTTTGATTTCGTCGAAATTTGGGCGATGCTGCAGTCCCTTCAGCGGTGCGGTTGACTGTCAGTATATCGAAGTGCTGAAGGGCTTGTACACTAGGGCTACGATGGCTATCCGCGTACAGAATCACAGTACGAAACCTATCCAACCGTAGAGAGATGTAGGACAGAGTCACGTTATATCGCCAAAGCTCTTCACCGCTGCGTTTTCAAACTACTGGACTGGAAAGGATACGGAATTAACATCAATGGCGAGTACAGCACTCACCTTCGATTTGTCAACGATTTAGTCCTTATGGCAGAATCGCTGGAGGACCTAAGCACTATGCTTAATGACCTCAATAGTGTCTCCCAACAGATAGGTCTCAAGATGAACATGAACAAAACAAGGATCATGTATAACATCCATGTCACACTTATGCCGGTAGTTGTTGGGAGCACTAAGCTCGGAGTTGTTGACGAGTATGTTTATCTGGAACAAATAGTCCGACTAGGTAAGTCCAACTTCGACCGAGAGGTCTATCGATGGATTGAACGCAACTGCGTTCGGGAAATTACGGGACATCTTCTCGTCAGGTATACCTCAAAACTTGAAAACGAGACTTTACAACCAGTGCGTGTTGCCAGAGATGACCTATGGAACTGAGACGTAGTCCTTCACTGCTATCCGTATGAGGAAGCTCAAGGTCGCTCAGCGAGCTATGGAGAGGGCTATGATCGAGGTTTCTCTGCGTGATAAACTTAGAATTGAGGATATCCGCAGTAGAACTAGAGCAAACTGATTAGTAATCTGAAGTGGCAATGGGCCGGCCATGTAGCTCGAAGTACCGACAACCGATGTGGAAAAAAGGTTCTCGAATGGCGGCCTCGTATCAGCGGGCGAAGTGTACGGCGTCCCCTCACTAGATGGAGTGACGACCTGGTAAAACATGCAGGAAGTCCATGGATGCAGGTGGCTCAAGTTCGGGCTTTGTGGCATTCCTTAGGGGAATTTGATCATACACAAAAAATCAGGAAAATCTCGGCCGAAATATTAACACTAATTCTTCTAGAATATTCTCCAATATTATTTACAAGTTCTGATACAGCATCAGGAAATTAATAGAACCTTTAATACGTTTATAATTAAAGAAAAAGCTCAGTTATTTTAGCTACTCCTATTGCATACACCTACATACCTGAAATTCCTGAATGACGACATCGGGATAATCCTCCTTGAGGAGATCTTGAAGAAATTCGAGCGTGATCGCACTCATGACTGACTAACGATAAATGCAGGGGGGTCGATACCGACTGAAGGACCTGGGAACTTAGCTCACGGTTGAGCTGCTTTGCCAGCTGTCATTATTAGCAATTGATAACTACTGCAACCACAACGCAGTACAACATTTTCAGGATAATAAAATTACAAATCAATAAACATAAATTTAAAATAACACGAGCCACCCGTGTCGAGCCTCGATTAAATTGTTAGTTGCAATCTTTAGTGCTGAGTTTCACACATGATAAGAAAACCTACATGTTCAATAAATAACTACTTCGAGGAAATGTGAAGTCTCCTTTAAGAAATGAGAGGAGGACTGTGCCAGCAGTTGGGCGTATATAGGCTGCAACATTAAGAAATTATAACTACAAATTAATATAAACTATACTTAGTAAAGATATGCGATGTAGCAAGAATGGGTCTACTAGAACGGGGAAGGGCAACGCTCTCACAGAATACCAGTGTAAAAATGTAGCTTTATGCTGCTGTATTTCTGATGGTGAGTGTAGAGAACCGGAGACTTTTTGCAGGAAACGAGGCATCCTATCTTAGTCCTCAGGTTACGTAGTAACTATTAGTTAATCTGTACCGCAGGGGTGATAACGAATTTTATTTTAATTTTTAATCTAGGATAGATGTTGATCTCAATTGGCCATAGTATCCACTCACCAGCAGGTGGACTGTGTGACTATTATCACATTTAAACTATTAAAAACAATACAACTACCTACTTTCCATCATAGATTTGAGCCTAATTAGATATTATAAAACCATTATCATACATAAAAACTTAAAATATTAGACTTCATTCAATATTTAATTATTTATTACAAATGCTCTCCCTAACAAAAATCCTCTGCTGAACTAAATATCTAACTATCTATCTATGGGGGATATATTATGCCATAGTTCCTACGCTTACCAACCTTCGTTTTACGCCAATGGCTTTTAAAAATTTCTTTTTAAAAACAAATTCGGAATAAAATTATTTGATTTGACTTTTTTATTATTTTAATTGTCATCAGGAAAATCCTTGTCCATCCTCTGTTTCACTGTTTTTCTGTCGCCTCTTACGAAACCCAACCCGCATTAACTCATAAAAGATTACAGTGTTGTGCCGTATTCAATACTAATTTTTATAATAATAGAATTGAATAATATGTTAGGACATAAATGCGTGGGTGCATGTAATGAGCCTATCTAACAGGAGTTTATTTCCATCGAAATTCGGTATCAGGCAATTTGTGAGACAAAGACAATCGACGCAGCGGGGTTGTCCAAGAGACGAATCTTCTCTAATTCTGTTTCCGTTCTGTCAGTCACAGTGTAGGTTCGCTGTGTAGTGGCAATGTAAAAGTGCACCCCATTTCCCACCATCGTGCACCATTTTTAGTAAGAAGTTACTTCGGGAAATTTCAAAAAAATCTTATGAACTCAGTACGGCACTAGAACCGTCTTGTTTACGCCATGCATAAAATACTCAAACTGGCGACGGACAGCAGCGTCAGAGGTGTAAGAAGTCTGATATTGCGATGACCATCACAATATCAGGCTGCCAAGCATGACGATTAAGGCAAATCCTCCCTACCACGCCAGAGACCCATATCCAGCAGTGGAAGTTTACGGGCTTGTACACCGTGCTCGCAGAGACTGGAGTTTGAAGAAGCACGAGCATAACCCAACGCCTTTTTGAATTTACAGATTAGCATCTTCATATTATAACAGCGACATATGGACGACATCGAAAATTAAACAAAGAGTGACTTTCATTATGTATTATTTTTATTGCATGCCTTAAGCGCAAAGCGCGTATGTATGTTCTACTAGAGCCTAAAAATCAAGATTCCAATGTTTTGTCGCAAAATTTCGTATTTAACAATCATATTGAACATATAAATGGTATAAAAAGCACATTGTCGGAAAGATAAATGATTGTTGAACTTATTAATATGTTTTTAAATCGCTTTATTACTATTTTTACATTAAAAAGTGGTTTTAGTGGCTTATGGTGTAGATTTATCAAATCCGCATGGAGTGGTAAACACTTAGAGTATTCAAAAACACGATAACTTTTGAAAATATCAATTATTTAACGCAATCTATTTTTTAATCTCTTCATCTATTATGTGGGAAGCCATAGAATGTAAATGGCTTTTTAATTTTGTTTTGTTTAGTTATAACTGTTTTTTCGGCTGCGAAATGTCGAAATTTTCGGTGTTCTAGCAGCTTTGTAATTATTTGTTTTACTAACTCACTCATTCACTTGCTCACTTCGGCGTCAACCACCCTCGTGAGTGGATATTGTATCTGTTGTTTGCGGCGGCGCAAAAAGATCGCTGTACAAATACAAAATATTCGAAAAACTAAATTTCATATATATTTCATTATTATAATAATCAGAAATTTTTATTACAATATTTTAAAAGCACAGAATAAATAATATTAGTACGTACTAAAAGTTATTAGGACGTATATATTTATACTTAAATACGTCTTGGACTTTATGGAGTGACCTGAATGATGATATGATGATCATATGAGCATTATGAGTCGTGCACTTTTGGATTTTCCAAACTTTTTTAAAATTGAACTTTTTCACAAAATTATTGGAAAATGGGAAGTATAATAAGGTTATTACTGAAAACTCCTTTTAAAAAATTCCGTATAATCATGTTATACGTAATTTTTTTAAAGCGCTTAGAGCATGCACAATTGGATTTACCAATAGTTTTTATATTTTCTTCTATATTGAATAAGAAAGTTTCTATTTCTATTTCTTAACTTTAGTTAAGTAAATCCAAAAATGCGTAAGTTATTTTTTTTTTAATTATAATCATGTAATTAATAAATATCCACTTTTATATTACTCATGAAAAAAACCTAAATATATCTTCAAAAAAATTAAAATAGAGTTGTTTTAAAATAGAATATGTGAAATGTGGTCCGCCCACTAGGGGAAAACATTATTGAATTGCAGCAGCGAGTGGAGTCGCAGTGATTGGATAATGATAGCAGTTGATAACCACGACGACGTCAATGTTGTTGCTCTTCCCACTTGCGTAACACGGTTCCTGCGAATAAAGAAGAAATAAATTGAAATGGTGTAAGATTACACGGAAATTTTTGGTAGCATCAACTATTTCCTCATCAATTATTTCTTCTACTGTAATGAATATGTTATTTATGCTAACGACTACGCATTTAAATACATAAATCTATCTAGAAGTAGTATATCGGAGTTCATTGGTTAAACAAAATAATGATGTTTCAGAGCCTACTTAATTACATAATAATTTATGAGTACATATTTAACTGTGTTCTGTAGTGTCAAACTTCCAAAAATATCAATGTTATAACAATTTGATTATTATCCCCCCCCCCCCCTTGTTAGTAGAGTACGTTCGATTCGAGAGCAATATTCATAATTCCATTACACTTTTTCTAAATGACAAAATCAGATTTTTGATTATAAATATTCTAAAATTTCTTATATCGTATAAATATTATAAAAATTTAAAAAGTCATGATATCATCCTATACAATTCAATTTAATTTAATGAATTCTTAATATTTACTGTTCTATTTATTGTTGTAAATTTTATATTTGAAATGTTATGTGTTTTTTGAACGATCAGCAACAGGTATACTTTCATATAATTTATATTTCTGTCAGAGATTTGACCGCCACCGAATTATGTGAATTAGAATATGTAAAAGTGGAGCGATTTCCTATAATAAATATCTGCACATAGGGACTATTAACGGAAACGGTTACAGGTGTTCTGATTATGTTCTGTGTATGAATTAAGCTCGTCAAAATCGCCTAAGTGATTTGCAATTTGACGCATTAGATTTTTGTGAAGAACTTTGTGATGATAATACGATATTCGTAAGCAATATACGAAGATAGTAAGAGTATGCTTAAAAACTAAAGTTGTGTTAAAATACAATCCTACTACAAAGAAATAAAACATGGTGTTCCGCAGGGTAGCGTGCTCGGACCATTATTATTTTTATTGGACATAAATTTTTGCCGAGGCTCGCATAAACAGTTTCCAAGTTATCAAATCAAACGAGTGGCCACCGCATGGCGCCGCGTCCGGGACAGCTCTAACAGCCTCCTAGCGGTGATAGGGGGTCCCTATTGCTATCCTATCTTGCAGCACTGGAACAGCGTCCATATCGGCTCGAGACCTGCTTTTGTTAATAAAAAATAGACATGGTAGGTAATATATGTAACTTTTTAATTTTATTTATTTACTAAATCTAGCTTATAAGTACTTTTTGTAATTACTAACCCACTCTATGGAAAATTCTGAAATAAAGAATAATAATAAATGACTGTCTCCCATCTAATATACTATTTGCCGATGATAGCACATCAATTAACAAATATTTTGATAAACACATAGTGCTAGAGCCATGCTGCAGCTACATTAGTAGTACATATATTTGTCGCACGAATAGGTCGGCTCAACCGGGGAATGACCACGCACTTACAGAATACCAACGTAAAATAGCAGCTTAACGCTGCTGTGTTTCGTATGGTGAGTGTAGAGACCCGGAGACCCTTTTTTTAGTGGGTACGTGACAACGCATCTGCATTTTGATTCGTAATCGAGGATAGATATAATGTCTATGGGTCGCAGCAACCACTTACCATCAGGTTGATTTGTACTCGTTTTTCACCCTTAACCTATAAAAAAACACTCATACGAAAATGATATGATAAACACTATACTTAGAACTCTAATAAACTGAATATTATCAACTTAATTATAAATATTCAGAAAACTTAAATCATGTATTTTTACTAACGGATAGCCGTGAAATACTTAAATTACAATGTAAACGCGTAAACAAACTAAATACCACAAAATTTTATGAATTTTAATTGACAATCAACTAACATGAAAAGCTCGAGCAGAAGATTTCTACAAAAGAATTAATACATCGGTATAATATACATATGATATACATCGGTACAACATATTATGTTGCATAACTTATGAAACAAGGTTAATTTGTTAACAATTTTAGTAGCCTACTGTGACAGTCGTTTCTTTTTAAGATTTTGGTGTTATAATTTGACGCAACTGTAATGCGAAAGAAAGCGTTTTTAAAGCTGAAAAACTAACAAACAAACGGCTCTTTATACAGCTATGTTTAATTTAAAAGTAAAAGACAGCTGACTACCTATATTTAAGTCGCATAAGCTATTGTTGGCAACCAACATCGGCCGCCCCTCTTCGTGCACAACGGAAGAGAAGTGGAAAGGGAAATGTGAAGTGGAAAGGGAAATGTATAGATTAGAGTGCATCATGATTCTTGGGCATTCCGTTGTGAGAACACGCGTCAAATTAGTCAAAGTGTAATTAAGTGTCGTGATTACAAAACCTGTAATATTGAGTGCTTTGTACAAATATTAATTGAATACATATATTGTGTTATAAGTGCATATTTCTTTATAATAAATTATTTCTTTATGTTAACACTATTGACCTTCCCATGACTTTATATTCTGGAATTAGCCATATTTGTGAAAATGAATAAACATTTATTAGTTTGCTACCTTGGCTGAAACTAGAATAAGATGAACAAGTATGAGATCACAATATCAGAACTTGTTGAAGATTTCATTACGCTTAGAAGAACGTAATAGAAACTTGATTGATGAAGAAAAGTTGTATTTTCATGGCACCCGTATTTTTAATAAAGTACAAATTTGTATAAAAGATAAACCTTTTCTATAAAAAAAAAAAACCTTTAAGGTTATCAAATAATCAATTTTATTAGGTATAATGTTTAATTTATCAACAACAAAAAAATATTATTTAGTGCAAATATTCTTAGCTCTTCCTAATAAATTAACTATTATATAAATAATTAACATTAAATATTGAGATAAGCCGAGCAAGATTACCTATGATTTAGAGTAGGTGTGTGTTTGTGTGTGTGTGTGTGTGTGTGTGTGTGTGTGTGTGTGTGTGTGTGTGTGTGTGTGTGTGTGTGTGTGTGTGTATGTGTGTGTGTGTATGTATGGGTGTGTGTGTGTGTGTGTGTGTGTGTGTGTGTGTGTGTGTGTGTGTGTGTGGGTGTGTTTGTGTGAATGTGCGCGTATGAGTGTATGTGTGTACGTGTGATTGTAGGTTAATAAAAATTGTAATTTTTATTAACCTACAATACATTAATAAAAATTGTAATTTTTATTATTATTATTTTACGTACTTTTATTTAATTCTATTCTATTCTGATTAACAAATATATTATTTAATTCCGTGACGTAGAATGTTTTCTGTGGTGTGATAAGATAATTTTTTTAAGATGATCGGTAAGTATTTTTTTACATTCGCGATAATTAAGTCGGTGAAAGATTAATTTTTTATTTAAGTAATTATACATATATCTTGATTGGGCACAGTACTGTCTTTCAGCAAATTTAGATTTAAAATTAACAATTAACAAGTAACATTTTACTTTAATTACCGTATAATATCTTATATTTCAAATTCAATAACGAGGATGCAATACGCAATTTTTTGTGCCTACATTCATTATTTCTATTTAAATTATTAGCAAGTAAAAGTCTATTACATTCTATTCGATTAGGCTGTATGGTTTAATGTATTTGCCTCGCTATGTCACTATGTCAAAATTGACATTGTCAAATTGACAAAATTCAGCGGAGGCAACGGTTTTACTTTTAGTAGGAGCTCGAAGTGTTGAATTTATGAAAATTTATTTTTATTTGAAAATAAATTACAGACCTTTGAAGTCCGTAACATTTTAAAGTAAAATTTATTGTTTACCTATTCGTTTAAATAATTTAAAAAATGCCAGTTGATCAAATACAGTATTCCGAAAGATACAGCGATGACGTCTATGAATATCGGTATGGAACTAAAGATTTTTCAATGCTTCGTCAGTTTAATTTTCAGTTTTAAGTTTTCACTGTATAATTTTCCACAAATTAACTTTTTTTCTACTCTACGCTATAATATTTTTATTAGTTACTTACCACCCTTAAAATCATAGCATGTATTATGTAGGTATTTTTTAAAATACAACCATAAGTGTATAAAATAAAGTTTGTCCCTTGCCAAATTAAAAGAGAAAGAATTCTCTAAATATACAATCGATCGAACGTTTTGTTTCGTATCTATTGGTTGTGGTGAACTCATCCTGTGAAGGCAGGTTAGGGAACCCCATAATTTTGAAAATAAAAATGAAAACATCATTGGGATACACATTTTAAAGCATTTCTGAACATCTTAACTGTGTGAAAGGGATGAGAAAATATCCTGGCACTTCTCAGGCTGTTCCTCTGGCAAGCTCGCTTTGCTCGTTTGGACACCATTAACCTGATAACTCCTTCTAGCTTCACTTGTTGTCACACCTGTATGTGACACTGCCCTAAACTAATACCAGTTATTGAAAAATAGGTAACTTTGTCCCAGTCATTAAAAATATTTAACAATGCCCTAGAATAGTAAATAAAAAAATATGTAATTGTGTCTCAGATATTGTTTCCAATCTTTTTGCATAAATATAACATTGATGTAGTGATTCCATATTTACACATATGATCTTTAAAGTAAATAATTTCCAATTATGTTTATAAAAAATTAGGATACTTAAAATTGGCTAACATCATCATCACAGCCATTACAAGTCATTGCTGCACATAGGCTTCTCCCAAGGAATGCCACAAAGCATAGTCTTGATGATGCCACCTGCATCTCTTACTAGGTTGGCACTCTGTCTAGTAGGGGCCACCCTAAACTTTGCTTACTGGTATGAGGCTACCATTGGAGGAGGTTTCTTCCCCATCAGGTAGGTAGAGCCATACTGCTGTGTTTTGTATAGTGAGTGTAGAGAAGTGGAACCCTTTTTACTGGATACAATGCCTTGTCCATCTATCGTCTGTACCATCCTAGTCCTCAGGAGTGACAACGCATCTGCATATTAATTTGTAATTGAGGATAGATGTAGATGTCTATGGGCCACTGTATCCATTTACCACCAGTTGGACTGTGTGCTCGTTTGTCACCTTTATTCTATAAAAAAAAAAAAGGAATCACTGGCAATATGCATAATTTAATGAGAAAAATGTTGCTTTTGCAAAGGGACTGATCAGGATCAAATATCATTTAAATAATTTTGCTTTTCATTTCAGACATGTAATCCTGCCACCAGATATTGCTAGGCTGGTTCCAAAGTCCCATCTCATGACTGAGACTGAATGGCGCAATTTAGGAGTGCAACAGAGTCCAGGCTGGCTTCATTTCATGGTACACAATCCCGAGCCCCATGTGCTTCTATTCCGAAGGCCCAGAACTGATATACCAGCGCCTGTCAACGGTCTAGATAGTAACACTGTTTCAACTGTCAGAGTTTAATATTTAGGTGACATGGCAGTAGGCCATTGTTACTGATAATTTTATGGATTAGATAAAAAAGATTATAAATTATTTTAAGGATTAATTTTTATAGCTATGTTATATTTTATGTAAAAAAAGTAGCTTAAAAACTTAATACATGAATGCATTTAATTAGTAAAATAAAATTTATTGGAAAAATATAATATTAAGTGGCCTCAATTATCATGACTTAGCAATAATGTAAATGTCATGACTATTTTGAAATATTATCAGTAATTTTGGCCTTTAATACTTTGTACAATAATCCCATAATTCATGCAGTTTTGTGTTAAATTTTAATATCTCCTAATTATTCATAAGCCCATAATAGTCTAATGTCTTTTTAACAGTTGTAGAGCCAGGCGGCAGCTTTTTTTTTTTTTTTTTATATAATAGGGGGCAATAATGCTGTCGCACGGATGGGCCGGCTCGAACCGGGGTGGTACCACGACCTCACAGAATACCAGCGTGAAGTAGAGGTTTACCTCTGCGTTTCGCTTGGTGAGTGCAGGTGGCCGGAGGTCCTTTTTACTGGAAATGAGGCATTCCATCCTAGTCCTCACGGGTGACAACGCATCTATATTTTGATTTGTAAACGAGGATAAATGTAGATGTCTATGGGCCACAGCAAGCACTTACCATCAGGTGGACTGTGTGCTCGTTTGTCACCCTATCCTATAAATAAATAATATAGGTATATAATAGGTAATAATAATAATACCCTAAAAAAAAAAAATGTTTGCCATGGATCTTTCTCTTTGTATTATCGGAATCGTTTGACTATCATTGGTTTAGTGGTCGTATACGCGATTGCTGATCATGAGGTTTGAATCCAGGGTCGAGCTAATACCAGTTATTGGGTTTTTCTGTCAAGAAATTCGCAGTAGCAGCCAAGTAGTAACCAGTAGTGTCCAAGCACTATAATACTGTCCTACGCAGATGGCTAGTTTGCGTTGAGACTGGCCACCGTGACCGAAATTCAGTCTAGAGTACATTATTGTCGGAAGCGCCAGGTGGATTGATAGATACAGACAACACATCTGCATTTTAATTATAGATGTAGATGTCGATGGGCCACAGCAACCACCTACTATCAGGTGGATTGTGTGCTCGTTTATCACCCTTATTGTATAAAATAAGATGTCATACCCATTCGCCTATATAGTTTTCTATAATCTTAATCTTAATCTCAATACACTAGAATGTCAACTTGGTCTTACTTGTCTAGTATATTATAAGCTGGTTATACTGCCATATTATAGTGTGAAAGAGGTTAAACTTCTGGTCCTAAAATCCACCCGATGGCTTCAAAGCGCAGTGGCTTAACCAATGAGTTGCAGCACTAAAGGCCGCAGGTTCAAAGTCCACACGGAACTACTATTTGTATGGACAAATTTGGAGTTGCAGATTTTAATGGTTGTCAGAAGAAAAATCCTAGTGTATAGGTAACGGTTTTAAAAAAGTAATGAATCAAATAAATAAACTAAACCTGTTGAGCTTGTTCATTTTGGCTAATTCTCATTACTATTGAAGACGCTCCCTTCCTGTGGACTGTTATGGGCTCCTAAAATAATATGTTAATTTGTACCTAATGGACTTGTTCCTCCAAATATTCTATTTTAATGCTATACTAGACTAATATTGTGATATTCCATATAAGTAAAACTACATGCGTGGACACCTACCACTCAAACAACACCAAAGGCTCCTACATAATTCTGCAGTGTGATTAGTAACTCGGGTTAGAATAGTTTGCTAGTAAACACCACTCCCCAATTTCATTATATTTTTTTCAGTATGGTATTATTATGTTATTTTATACTTTGCAATATAAAATAACATAATAATATTAAAAAGGTTTATAACCAAAACTGATACATTTTTTACTGCTTGCTGCTTAAACCATTGCTTGATTAATGATCCCACCTGAGGGTAAGTTTTGCAGCTAGCGATGGTAAGGAGCACCAATTTAGCTTAACAAAAGCCTATTCACTTTTGCCTTGAAGATGCCTACATTGTAGTTGGATGCGTTGATTCCATCCAACATAGATGCTGGCAAATTATTCCACGCCTTTATATGTACGAAAATAAGTTTATTAAATTCACAAAATATAATGTCAAATAATGACACTACTACTGACAAACTAAATCAGAATTCCTAATAGAGTAACAATTACACTGCTGTTTTTGGATACATTACAAGAATTAACATACTCACATTGCTTAGATTAGACTGAAGCAAAAGGATAGATAATTGGATAGTTTAATTATTGTTAAATATTAAGATATAGTTTTGTTGCTTTTTTTTTTTTCAAAAATAAGCATTTTAAATACTCTTGCTACTCATTCTAAGTTGAATTTACACTGCGTATTTTATTTTTAAAGTGCATGTTCAAACTCATTCTGTTGCAAATGAGCTCAAAGTGCTAATGGATTATAATCCGAAGTCTATGTTGTTATAAAAGTGCCTTTATCAAAGATGAATTTGTAGTATTATATAAATGGGTAGAAGTTAATTGGTTGCTGTTATAATTATAGCGATTATGATATTTGATGGATTTTCATCTAGTGACATCAGTGGATATGAATAATTTGTTTATTATCAAAATACTACGCTTGTAGCTTGACATGAAAAAAAGGATTCTTGTATATCCCAGAAGTCTAGCAGCCAAGTTATTTTTCATGTTATCTGTGAGCTATTGCTAATTTAACACTACGAGCTTTGGTGATTTTTAAATTGTATTGTGCAGTGTAGTGATGGTGTAAGAGAATCGTTCCATGGGTGTTTTATGGGGATTCTATAGGAAATGTCAGAAAGAACTATGTAATCTTGTATATCTGTATATTACCTTGTGTGGGTTTACTGTCTCGTTGGTCTGGTGGTCGTATTCCTCCTCGGGACCTGGTGATTTCGATTGCTGAATCACAAGGTCCCGGGTTTCGAATCCCAGGTCAGTAAAATACTATCTCTATTCCCTCACTCTCAGTGAGGGAATAAAGAATGCACCTGTGCTTGCTCATGCACTATAATCGACCGAAATCAATCAGGAGGACATTATTTATTATCTTGAACATTATACCAGATGTATTGAAACCATTCTGGTGAAGCAGCGTAAAATGTGTGAGACATCTGCAGTTTAGCCAAGATGACTTTCAAGATGATTGTTAATGCTATAAAAAACTTTAAAAACGAAATTAACAGTAAGACCTGAGACTGTCACATGCTTTACCATTCAGATATGCCATTCTCATTCATTTTTTACGTGGTAGAGCCATGCTGCAGCTATATTATGATTGTAGCATGAATGGGACGGCTCAAACGGGTTAGGATCACGCTCTCACAGAATACCAGTGTAAAATAGCAACTTAATGCTGCTGTGTTTCCTATGGTGAGTGTAGAGAATCAGAGACCCTTTTTACATTACATCTCAGTTCTCAAGGGTGACGACACATCCAATTTTTGATTGAGAATAAATAGATGTCTATGGGCCACAGCATCCATTTAACATCAGGTGGACTGTGTGCTTGTTTGTCACCCTTTTTCTATAAAAAAATCTAGGTTAACCCTGCTGCACTGAGTCTCTAACCTGTGATTATGGAAATTACATATAATAGATTGCCTAATAAGGGGGATATTTACCATAGTAGCATGGCACTGGGGCAAGTAGACAATTTCAAACTTTAATTTTCTAGTTTTTATTATCAAGATGTATTGTCGATCTCATGGTTTGTTCTATCGTTTCTAATGACACCTATGTGGCGATATGAAATGGATATTCTTACACCGATAGTACACAGTCACAGCAAAGTTGTAAATGTGCAAAATAATTGTTTTAATGTTAATATAATATTAATTAAAAACTATTTAACAACTTACATGTTAAGTTTTCAATGTATTAAATATGGTTAACCAAATAAAATTCGTTTTATATGATGCTAAACTGCTTTTTATTGTTCTCTTTTCCTGCTTAGTATTTAATGGTGCATTTGCAATATGTTTGTTAACACTTTCAGAAATAATGTGTGTCGTTTATATACCTTTTATGTTCAAGTGGATGTTTTCTATTTCGTTAGTTTTTTTATTAAAGAATTCTATCTCTACTAGTTGTTGTCATAAGAATTGTTATAAGAAATATAAAAACCTAAGTAGGTACATACAAGATATTATATTTATTACATTTCTGGTGTACAAGATTATTGATTACAGAAGTATACAGAATATTACAAAAATCGATTTTTGAACATTGCTAGTTGTTTATGCCCAAAATTGTTCATTTTGAATGCCATCCAATCGCGTTTGAGCTGGCGGGTCACCCGATGGTATGTAGGTGAGGTAAACGCCGCCAGGAGGGGCGGCCGTGTGCGGCTTGCAGTGGCTCGACGCGTGGGCGAGAGGAGAGTAGCTCACTGGCCGCAATGCGGGGAATCCGCGTATCGCGGCAGAAGTTCACGCCACCGCTAGGGTCCAGATGGTTAGATTTAGTGAGTGTTACATCGCTACGTGGATATGTGAATTTTGCAATATTTAAATTGCTCGGGTGATGCGGAATTTCGCACGCGCGCGCCGAGTAGATATGCGGTCTAGGATTCGAACCGCGCATTCCTTGTTTTGATTTCCTTGACTTGATTACACGATTGTAGTTTGCACGAATTCTTTAACATTTACCACAGACGAAGAACAAGCAAGTGGATCCGTAAAATGCATTTTCCTGAACCTCCGATCCAAAAGCGAGGGAATGCACTCTCCCTCTATAACACTCATTCTCTTGCTGATCTCTTTAAGGACCAGCAATTCCAATTCTTTGGCAAGGAGATCTTCCAGTTTAAGAGGTTTGACTTTCAAAAGAAGACAGTATCACCTGACACTTCCTTGGTTGCAGCTTCAGTCGGTCGCAGAACTTGTAAAACTGAAGATAGAATTGATAGCTCTAATGCAGTATGCATCGGCCATCGGTAGTGCATTTTTATGACGAATGATT